GGGGGGGGGTGGGGCAGGCAGGGAGCGGGCAGCAACAGACAACAGGGAAGAGCAATGGGGAGAGGATGGAACCAGGCCCACTGAAGGCCTGTGTCTGCCTTCCGTGGCAGCGTCCCCCACCAGGCCCACCCCCGGCGGCTCCTGAGCTGGTCCCACACGCTGGGGCTATTTGTGCAATAGGAGCCAACATAGTCTGGAACCCAATTCCGTGGACAGATCAGGTGAACAAAGGGGTGGGGGAAGGAAGGAAATGGAATAGGGGAGATAGAGGAGAGAGGACAGGAGAGGCCGACAAACCTCGCTCTCCAGCGCAAACTGCCTCTGCACATCGAGGAGCTGCTGCTTCTCCTTCCGGGCGGCCTCCTCCTGCGGGCGAAGGAAAGGACCGGCCATTTGGCCATCTCCGGGCCCCGGGTCCTCTCCTGGGGAAGCTGACTCCAAGGTCCAGGGTCCCCAAGAACCTGTCCTCCGCCCCCACTCCCGCACCTGGACATCCAGCTGAGCCAATCTGGCCTTGACATCCTTGGTTCTGGTTTCAAGCTCCACCTCTAAATCTTGGAGTTTCCTTTCCTGCACAGAAGTGTAGGTGGAGAGAAAGCCGTGAGCGTAGCAAGAGCACAGGCACGTGCTGAGCGGCAGGAGGGGTTTGTGACCTACCACCCCATACCGCCCGCTCCAAGCTGAGCTGGCTTCCCCCACTTGCCCCCACGGCCTCCCAGTAGAGCACCACCTCTCGTCTATTTCAGCGGGGGCGAGGAGAGGCGAAGGTGCCAACCCCGAGGCCCTGGGGCTACTGACCTCCGCCTCTAGTCCTGGGGATGCTCCCTGGCCCAGAAAAGAAAAGCGCAAGGATGCCCCAGCTTGCGCATGGCCAGCGAGAGACCCCCACCCCTGAAGCTGTCAGGCTCCATCTGCTGCTGCTGCAGTGCCGGCCCCCAGCACTTTTCTACCCAGGGTGGAGGGGTCGGGCAGGGCGGGCCCCAAGCGACCGTCAGTCCGGGGCCCCCACCTGCTCCCGGGGCCGCCGCCGCAGGTCCTCGAGCTGCCGGTCCTGCTCCTGCCTCACTGTCTCCAACTCCCGCTCGTGGGCCCTGCGCAGGCGCTCCAGCTCTCCCGTCAGGTGCCCCAGGAGTTCGGCCCGCTGCTTCCTCTCCTGCATGGACAGTGGGGCCGCCGGTGGGAAACCACAGCCGCCCCTCCCACCCCTAAAACCACAGCCCACCCTGCAGCCTTGGGTCAGTGCCATCAGGGACCCCAACAGGCCTCTACGGCCGGCTCTTGGAGAAGAGCAGGAGAGCACTGAGGACGGCGAGGTCCCGCCCCCAGAAAGCCTGCACCCCAGCTCTCTGCTGCTGAAACAATGCTGGTCAGACGTGCTGAGAAATCCCTGGGTGGAAGCCAGCCTCTCCCACCACCCCTGCACGCACAGCCTTCCTTCCTTAAGGGAAGAGAGATCGTTACTAAATTCTCACTCTTCCTCAGCAAGGGCAGAACTGGTTTGGGAAGGGAGTCAACTACATTTCACCACGATGGGCCGCTATTTGTGCCCTGGTGCAAAGAGTCTGGGATACCGGTTCCAGTTACTGGAGGAGTAGCCTAGAAACCCTGGGTAGAGGCCTGGCTCTGGGCCAAAGTCAGCCACCAGCCCTCCCCCTCGTCCACCCCCAACATGAGCAAGCCGGCATGGGTCCACTTAAGTCACTGAACGTTCCCACCGAAGGCTGAAGTTGGGCAGATAATATCTAAATATTGGGTGGCTCTTGCCAGTCTATTTCCTGGTGTCCTGGAATTTCTATTAACCCTGGTGGCACAGTGTTGGGTGGTTAAAATTGAAGACTTTGGAGTCAGACATTCTGGCTTGAATCCTAGCTCCTCTACTTACTAGCCAGGGTGGGCTTGGGAGAGTTGCTTACACTCCCCAAGTCTCAGTTCCCTCTTTTTAAAATAGAGATAATGATAATATGAACCTCCTAAGGGTGTCGTGAGGACTAAATGAGGTAATATACATAAAGAGCTTAGGACAGTGCCCGACACGTCGTACAAGCTCAATACACGTCAGCTATTATTAATATGACAGCAAAGTGCAGCCTGCTGATGGGGAGGAATCACTCCTCACCTAATACTTTAGTAAAAAGGCAAAACACGATCTCACCATTGCAGGGTGCCAGGAAAGAAAGCCTCCCACCATCCCTGACCACAGGTGGTCCCCTTCCCAGGCCCTCTGGCCAGCTGGGAATGACCCCGGTGTGTGTGTGTGTGTGTGTGAGTGTGTGAGTGAGAGAGAGAGAGAGAGAGACCCCGGGGTGTGTGTGTGCCAGGGAACGTGGTGAAGTCACCTCGGGGTGTGTGTGTGTGACCCCGGGGTGTGTATGACACTGGGGTGTGTGTGTGTGGGTGTGTGGGGTGTGTGTGTGTGCGTGCACGCACATGCACATGCCAGGGAACGTGGTGAAGTCACCTCGGGGTGTGTGTGTGTGCGTGCACGCACATGCACATGCCAGGGAACGTGGTGAAGTCACCTCGGTGTGTGTGTGTGTGTGTGTGCGCACGCGCAGGCACGCACATGCACGTGCCAGGGAACGTGGTGAAGTCACCTCAGGGGGTGGGGGGTGGGGTGTGTGTGTGTGGTGTGTGTGTGTGTGTGTGTGTGCACGCACATGCACATGCCAGGGAACGTGGTGAGGTCACCTCGGGGTGTATGTGTGTGTGTGCGCGCACGCATGTGCACGTGCCAGTGAACATGGTGAGGTCACCTCGGCTTCATACTGCTCCCTGGCCTCAGCCACCACTTGCTGATGCTCCTCCTTCATCTTGTCCATCTTCCTTTCGTGTTCCCTCTCCACCTCCTGGCGCTTCTCTCTCAGGAGGCCACTGAGCTGCAGGGCAGGCGGCAGGGATGCGACATGCAGGACTGAGGCTGGAGCAGCACCCGGGGACTGAAGCACTTGAAGGGACTCATACACACATGTGACACAACCTCCCCAATGTCCCCACGTGCACACGTCAGGTGACATACACACGGCCACACCCAGCACGCCCTCCTCCTCACATATAGGGCGTGGGGGCGGAGAAGCACTTGGCCTCCAGGGAACTAAGGCATGAAAACGGACCCTGAAGTCCTGACCCCAGCTGAGCTGTCCAAAGCAAAGCAGAGGACCCCTGGGCCAGGATGGCTTGGCCGACCGTCAGAGTGTCCACGACAGGTACACAGAGTGGAAGGAGCAGACCAGCACCCACCTCTTGCTCGTACTCGAGAACGTGGTAAACTTTCTGATGAGCTCTCTGCTCCGCCCGCCCAAGGCTCTCCTGCAGCTGGGCCTCCTCTTTCTGATGAGCTTCCTCCATCTTCTTCTGGAGGCTGGAGACCACCTGAGGAGGCACCCACACAGGGGAGCGTGACCCGCAGAGAGCGCTGCAGAGTGGCCGCGGGGGACTTGCTTCCCAGGGTCCCAGCACCCATCCCCCCGGGGGCTGCAGGAGAGGGAGACTCCCTCCCTAGGGGACGGGGTGCCGGTGAAGGGGTCCCGCGGCTCACACCGCAGGATGCCCAGGGTCTGCCCCGCCGACCAGGGCCACCGCCCCTCACCTCCCTGTGCTTGGCCTCCAGCGAGGAAGAGAGCCGCTCCAGCTCCTCTCTGTGCTCCCTCTCCAGCGCTGCCACCGCCTGGGGCAGAACAGAGGGCCTGTGAGGACGCAAGGCAGGCTGGCCGGGCTCTGACCTGAGACGAGGAAGAGCCAGAAGACCACCCCCAATGCCTCTCGAGCTAAGCACTCAAGGGGAACCGCAGGCACATCTTTGTTCCTCTGAAATAACTGTCCCTCAAGTCTGCAGCTCGCAAACGAACAGGGACGTGAAGGCCAGAGTGGAGGGGCCTTTCAGTAAGTCTCGGTCACGGCTTCCATTCCCCTGCCTCTAGGCCACCGGTACATAGGCAACACTCCTGCCTGTGCATAAGCGCCAGGCAGGGAGGCCCGCACGTCTCAGCACCACCTCCTGCGGCTCCCCAGGCCTGAGAGCTGAAACTCCACCCATCACCAAAAGAAAACAAAAGTTCCACGTGGCCTATTACCTACTTCAGCCTCTTACCTAGAGACAGACCCACTGGACTGGAGGGACAGGGAGTAAGGACAAAGGAGAAAAAATTCCTCTGAGCGGGCTAGCCTCTCACTCTGAGGCAGGGGAGGGAAGGAGAGAAACGCGAGGTCCTCACAGCTGCCCCTCAGGGACAAGGACAGGGCCCCTTTGTCTCAAGAGCTCTGGTCTGGTTTAAGTTCTTTCAGTCATGAAATCTTCCCAAATCCACAGGCCAGGTCCACACGGGCCCAGACAGCCGGCCCAACATCTCGTTGCCCATCCACGCAGACACCCGTTCTCCACCTGGCTCCCCACCCTGTGCCCCAAGGCTGGCGCTTCCTCTTCCTCAGTGCTCAGTCCCTCCCCAGGCAGCCCAGGATCACATTGGGGTGGGGAGGGAGGTGCTCACGTCTCTCCTCTCCCCTTCCAGCTGCTCCCTCAGCTGCTGCAAGGCCCTCTCCTTCTCCGTGTTCAGGGCGGCCTGCTCTCTCTTCTCCGAAGCCTCCATGTCTTCCCTGAGACGCTCCAGCGTCTGCCTGTTTCTCTCTTCCAGGCTGGCCCTCTCAGCTTTTTGTAGAGACTCCAGCTCTTCTCGCAGCCTCTGCAGGGAAGCCTCGTGCTCGGCCCTGGGCAGACAAGCAGGCGGGGATGGACCTGAGCACTGGGGGAGGCGGGGGTGGACCTCCAGGTGGCCAGGCAGCCCACAGCCCACACTCACCTGATTTGGTCCTCATCCGCTTCCACGCTGCACTGCACCTGGGCGCAGAGCCGGGACAGCCTCTGGCCTTCCTGCTCTCTCACCAGGCTCTCCTCTTCCTCGGTGGCTCTCTGCAGCTGCTCCGTCAGGGAACTGTGAAGCAAAGGAAAGGCAAGTTTGTTGGCGGGACCACAAAGCCTTCCCTCTTTTAGGCATAACCCCTGGCTCTTGGCCTCCAAAAGCCCGTAGCCTGCCTGTGAAGCTTCCTAAGTCTTTTTTTTTTTTTTTTTTTATTCATTATTTATTTTTGGCTGCCTTGGGTCTTCGCGGGCTTTCTCTAGTTGCAGCTAGCGGGGGCTACTTTTCGTTGCGGTGCGCGGGCTTCTCATTGCGGTGGCTTCTCTTGTTGCAGAGCACGGGCTCTAGACATGCAGGCTTCAGTAGCTGTGGCATGTGGGCTCAGTAGCTGGGGCGCATGGGCTTAGTTGCTCCGAGGCATGTGGGATCTTCCCAGACCAGGGCTCAAACCTGTGTCCCCTGCATTGGCAGGCGGATTCTTAACCACTGCACCACCAGGGCAGTCCGAAGCTTCCTAAGTCTTAAGGATGAGTCTAACCTCAGCCTCTGGGTCCTGCTGCCTCCCTCTAATACCTCCCCGGGTTAAAGGGGCTATGAACCACCTGCTTTTTGCTGCCGGAAGCAGATTACAGGCTCCTTGATCCCAGCACAGCATTTCTGCCAAAGGCTCCCCTCGGCCTGCAGGTTCACCTCGGTGGCATTCACTCAAGGTGGGATCCAGTCTGACTCCAGCCCAGCTCTGGCCACAGCAGATGAGCCACCCCCTCTAAACCCCACTACACTCTTCCCTGCCTCTTGGCCTTTGTTCATGCAGGTTCCCCCGTCTAGAACCCCCTTTCCTACCTGATGAACCCATGTTCCTTGTTCAACACCCAGCTCCCTCCTCTCAGAGAAGTCTTTCCAAGTTCATCAATTACCTTTCTGCTCCCAACACACTTTATATGAGGACCTTTCTTAACCATGCCGCTCGGTGCCACGCATCACACCGCACCATAATTAATCTTTTGTTTCTGTGTTTTCCTTACAAGCCTGAGAGCTTCTCCAGAGAAAGAGTCTTGTCTTAAAACCTGTTTTATCCTAAGTGCCAAACACAGTAACAGATACGAAGTAGGTACTCAATGCATGTTTGTTGAATTTGAACAGTATCACCCAGGCCTAAACTATAAGCAAGCTTTGATTATCTATGAGGGGTATCTTACTCGCAGACCAACGATAGTAACCATCTCATCCAAAGCAGACAACCCTCCTGCGGCCCCCACGTGACCAGGGGCTGTGTGCTGTGCATCATTCAGAAGACAATTTCTTTGAAAAGCTTCTGGAGTGAATTCCAAAGCCAGAAAAGATTTAGGTTCATTTCCTATTTTAAGTTATCAGCACCACTGCTCTCTTCCATGATGACAGAAAATTTGAGTGAAGTAAAAATCCTTCCTTCTAGATTCCCCAGAAACCCTCTCTCTTCATCCCGTGGCCAAATGTTACATGTAGCACCACAGAATGGCAGAGCTGGAAGGGTCTTTAGAGGTTAAGTCCTGCATTTTACAACTCTCTCTCTTCATCTTACAACTAAACTCAATCTCCTCGTTTTGTAACTAAAGAAACTGAGAGTTAGCCTGTCTGCCTTACTGCCTGCTTTCTCATTCAAGAAATATTTGCTACAAGGTCAGCTGGGGTTTCCAGAAATTTCTACCAAGTGGCAGTTTCCCAGCACAGAGGAGGCCCCACCCCTCAGAAAGGCTCACACGTAAACAGAAACAGGGTTCTCATGATAAACTACTTGGAAGACAGCCAGGCAAGGCACTGCCCACAGAGAAAGCACTTAGTCAAGACCGCTGACACTGTACTGATTTCGACTGAAAATATTTACAATCAAGAGCCACCATTTATTGAGCAACTACTGTGTTTCAGGCCCTGAGTCGGACACTTTTGGCAGGCTGGTTTTCACCACGACTTAAGAGGTCTCTGCAGTTGGGGGGTTTGGGGAGGGACAAAAGGCACAGTCAGCCCAGCTGAGGGTGACCGGGAAGAGAGAGGAGCCTGGTAGGTGGGCAGGGAGACACCACAGGGATTTCCTCCCAGGCACTGTCTCTCAAGGTAAGCTGAGTCTCACCCTGTTTGGGTGGGTCCCCGCCCCAAGTTTCAGTTGGCTGGAAGAGGAGGATGCTGTGGGAAGATCTGTTCTCTGGGATGCACTCTGGCTGGGGATCCAGGAGGGGTGACATAAGGATGGACCCAGGGTCAGTAGATCCTGTGTTGGGCTAATGAGAGAGACTGTCCCCAACCCTCTGGGTAGCTGGGTGTTGGTTTTGTTAGTTTCTCTAAATTAAGCATAAATATTTTTATAAGTCTTTGCTACATATGATAGAAAAATAGCAAGTCTCTAGCACTTTCGGATGTTCTGTCCAAGAGGACAAGATTTAGCCTTTAGTTTAATTGCTAAGTAAGTGAAATATATTAACATCTTTTTGTAGCACCTTTCCCATCCTGGGACTGTGACAGAGATTGCTTATTACCCTTCTTAATATCCATTCTCCCATTTTTCTTTACTAAGAGAACCCTGATTTTTTTCTATCAGGTACAGAGGACCAGCTGAAGGACTACATTTCCCAGTTACCCTTTGCAACCAGGGGTAGCCAGCCAGATATAAGTGGAAATTATTGGGTAAAGTTTCCAGGAAAACTCCTTTAAAGAATAAGCAGAAGTTATTGGGTAAAGTTCCCAGGAAAGCGCCTTCAAAGGGTCTGAATGAGCTAGAAGGTGCCCCTAATCTTCCTGCCTGGAGCACAGATACGATGGCCGGAGATCCAGCAGCGATACTGGACCGTAAAGAGACCCTGAGAGTAAAACCCAGCACTAAAGATGGCAGAGAGATGAAAGGAGACCAGGGACCTGGTGACTCTGTGTAGCCGTCATGCCAGCCCTGAACTGCCTTTTTCTATAAAAATAAAACTCCAACATACATACACACAATCCTGTACACGCGGGCCCACCCCAGGCTTCCATGTCGCATTTGTCTAGGGCCTCGCAGACAGCTACTCAAAGAGTAGGAACCCAAATAGAAACTTCTGGGTCCGAGAGCACCTCACACCATATCACGTGGTCCCTCCCAATCTCAGCGGGTTCCAACAGGGCCCTGACTCCCAAGAGAGAGGACGATGTAGTTGTTCTCCGGAGACAAACCGCCTGGGTTAATCCGGGCTCTGCTGCTTACGAGCCCCCATACCTGGGACAAGCTACTTAAGCTTTCTGTGCCTCAGTTTCTTCGTCTGTATTATAGATGCTACAAAACAGAATTGATGACGACACCTCATAAGGGCCATTCCGAGGACTGAACAAATTAATAGACATAAAGCGTATGGATCAGTGTAATCTCTCAAAAAATGTCAGCTACCCCTCATTATGATCACGCCTCCCAAGTCCTCCCCAAAAAGAGGAAAGGCACAAGCCCTGGCCAGGGAGCCCACCCCTCCACACGGACCACTGGGGAGCAGTCCTGGAGGGGCCCCGGGCAACCCCGTGGCTGCCAGGGCGGGAGGAGGGTGTCCCTGCACAGCCGGGTCATCTGGGCTGGGGGCGGGGCGGGACCTGAGCGCCTTCTCTTTCTGCCGGTGAAGCTGCAGGGTCTCCGCCTCCTCCGCCTGCCACAGCTTCTCCTGGAGCCGCTGCATCTTCTCTCGCTCTCGCCTGGACTCCAGGAGCCACCTCTGCTCTTGCTCGAGTTCTTGGGCCACCGCCTCTTCCGAGGCCTTCAGTGCAGCCTCTGAGAGCTGCTCTGGGGGAGCCACAGGCTCTGTAGATCGCCTGCCAAGGGTGGAAGCAGCATTTCACTAGGTGTACCATCCACCCACCTTTTGGCACTAGGATTTATACAGATACAGAACAGCACATACGGAAGCCTAATAGAGGGCCCAGGGTCAGGAATCATAAGTGCAAATCACTGTACCCAAGGGCAGGCAGCAAGCCTACACACTCGAAGACACAGGCAGCATTTGTTCTATAGGACAAGCCCCACGGTGGCTGTCAAAGGCCCCGAGAGCCTGGGGATGAGGGTGGCCCATAGAAGGCTCTCAGGGCACCTGGTGGGTTGTGGCCTGAGGGAACACCCAAGCTGTGGCTCAAGGGCTGGCGGCAGCAGGAAGGGAGCGAAGCTCTGTCCCTCATGGGTTCCTCCCCAGAGCGGCTCATGGCCCTGTTTCCAACTCCCTACCAGGGCTCTCCCTGCTACTTGAGGTTCAGTGCCAGCAATCTGGGAAGTCCCCAGAGGCTGCTCTCTGACTCTCAAACTGAACAGAGGCCAGTGTGTTATGAGCCAGCGGGAGAAGCAGCAGCATGTCTCCTCGCTGCTAGAACTCCTAGCCCTGAGGCCTAGAACAGTCCATGGAGGCCCAGGAATGGGAAACCGTCCTCCCCACTCTGCCAAGGGAGCCGGGCAGGAGACCCTTCCCTAAGCCAAAGACAGTAGCAAGAGCACAACCAGAATGCCAGGCTCCATATCTCCCCGATGATGCCACAGCTTCATCTGCTTAGAGTGAATTCACTGTTTGGAAATGTGTAAAAGAAATTCTAACCTGGATGCATAAGGCGGGTGGTAAGATAAGGAACACTGGTATCGGTTAAAGAGATGTCTATAATGAAGGCTGCTATGTTGCTTGTATTCTGGTTCTTAAAGGAGATACCCAAAGAGAAACCCCAAGAACATTTTAAACAACGAAAGCATAAGTGGGATAAAGTGTTTTGCCTCCCAGAGTGGCTTCCCTAAAGGCCAGGACATGCTGGCATTCCCAGGTCCCTAAATCTTACATCAGAAATTGGTCTGGCCACCCAACCACCATCTTCTCCCGGGGTGCTCCAGCTGCGGCAGGCCTGGCACGGTGGCCCAGTGGACCCCAACAGCAAATGGGCGTGGTCCAATCAAGGACAAGAGGGGCCAGAGCCCAAGAGGGGAGCCAGTCCCCCGTCCACCGCTGGGGATGTAAAACCCCCTCCTCACTCAGCTCCCATAGTGCAGCAGACAGAAGGCAGTGGGCGGGATCAGATTAGAACAGCAGAAGTAAACAAGGGCTCTGGAACTCCATTTCAGCCCCTTGAGGCCAGAGAGAGAAGGAAGACACAAAAGGCTACTGATATCTCTGAAATATCATTAAGATCTTTCCTAAAATCATGACTCAGACCAGAAACAGTCTTGAGGCCTGCCTTCAGTTCTCCTCTGCTCCCAAGCCCGTCTCCCCCCTTCCAATTCCCAGCTTCCTCTCCGTCCCCTGTCCCAGCCCGACTGATGCAGATGTAAGATGTGGCCACCACCTCCTCTGAGAATCCCGCCCTCGGAAAGAGCCTCCCCCCCGCAGCTCTCAGCCTCATCAACCCTCCAACTCATTTCCAACCTGAGCTGAAAACATCTTTTTTCCCTGAGATGGTACCTTTTAATGTCTCTCTCCCCTATGGGCTACGTAGCTGTGTGGAGCCCTGGGGACAGATGCTGCGGAGAGATGGGGCATCAGCCGGCGTGCCAGTGTGTGCCCAGGATGCACGCACCACTGAGCCTGCCTGCACGCCTGGCACGCAGGCAAATGGGGCTGCTTTTCAGTGGGCCTCTTCTCCGTGTCCCTGTTTTAAAGATCGAGTATCCCAAACTCCCAGCTTAGGTCCAAGGCGGTCAAACAGTGAGGCTGAAAGATCTATGAGATAACTGGGCAGTTGAAGACTCCGGAGGAAGAGGCAGGTCCGATTTCTAGGCCACTCCTCAGGTATCAGCATCAGTGAGACACAGTTTGCAACAGTTAGTAGCCAAGAAGAGGCTCAGTACCACGAAAACTCAGATCACCATCAGGGATCTTGTCTCCGCTCACTTTCAACCCAGTTGTTTTAATTCATTTACCCTCTCTCTATACACACCTCGTGAAAGATGCTGGGATGACAAACGGAAGGGTATCCTTGTTTCCCAGACCCAGGCCTCTGGCCATAAAGCACGCACAGCGGTGGCTGCTTGCTAGCCCTGCCTGCACTCCCTGACCTGCCCTTTGCTCTGAACTCCTCCTGATTCAGCTTGACAATATCTATGCAGGTGACAGACTCTACTAATCGTGCTTTTTATTTTCTGTATTTCATGATGTTATGGCATCTGAAAAAGCTGGCTGGTCAAGGAGAGGGTGCCCCCTCCCAGATCAGCCAATCCTTACAGACAGCAAAGGGAGTATGTCTTTCACATGCAAACCAACCAATCCCTACACCCCCTACCATCTCCTGATCTATTTCCCACGCCCAAAATCACCCAGGGCCAGGCACCAGGTAACTAGAGACCAGGCCCAGAGCCCTCCAAAATTATTCAAACTTTCCACCCCTCCACTCGCTCAGGGCACTTACCCTGTCTCGCCCACTGCTTCCCACGAAAACCCCAAGAAAGGCTCTGGGTCACGCTCTTCCTTCTCGCCTCTTCGGCCTCCTGGCCAACTCTGGTCCTTCCCCACGTGGCCCCACCTGGCGTGGCATGCCCTCTTCTCTCTGGAAATATAAGGAATAAATTCTTCTTTCAGTGGCATTGGCCTCTCTGTGTTGTCACTCAGTCACCTCCATAAATGAAAATCCCATGGATACAAATGAGGCACAGACACAGAGCCACTCCCCACGAATCCCAGAAAATCAATCCATTCTTAACGTAGCTGTAAAGATTAATAACAAGGAAGTTATGGAGCCTGAGAAGACTCAGGAAAGGAACAGAAGACATTTCCTAAGGGCGCTGTGTAAACTGAAACTGTGTGGTCCAGGAGAGAGCCCCCCAGCAGGGGGAGCCTCACTGGGATGGGAGGAGAAACACAAAGGAAGGGGACGCATCAGCCCAGGCAGCCAGGAGGAGCCTCACTGGCCAGCTTCTCTTCCAGAAGCCCTGGGAAAATGCCCTCTGCCCGCTGCCCAGAGGGTCCTGCTTCTGAACCCCACTCACCTCCTGTCCTCATCAAAAGCACCCTGATCTGGCTGCCCACAGCCACCCAGGGGACCTGGGAAAGCTATGTCATTCCTCAGGGGCAGAGCTGTCACTGTGGGATATATCACCACCTGAAAAATGGGCTACCCCTTCCCTACGTCACTCCTGTAGCGCTACAGCGATGACATGAGATTGTGCACTCACGTGCCCCGCCAGCTCTCAGTGACGCTTCCTGTGAGTAATCAGTGCGTGAACCTGTCTCTGCTCAACAGTCAGCCCGAATCCTGAGGACACTTAATCCTTTTGTACTGCTCAGTTCACAGACAGGAAAACCTGTATCGCCCTGACACCTGTTTCTCTCCATGCAGAGAAAAGGCACAGTGGCTACAGAGCAAGAGTCAGAAGTCGATGGCTCAGGCGACTAGAGGGCTCAGGTCCTAATTCTGCAACCGACTGGCGACGTGACCTTGGGCAAATCACTTCACCTCCCTGAACCTCAGTTTCCTTATCTCTAAAAGGGGTGAGAAAGCGGAGCAGAGCGGAAAGGTTTCTAAGTTTTAGAAGGTGCTTTTGGTGCAACAGCACAGCTAAGCTTTGAACCCAGGCACAAAAGATATATACTGTGTACTGGATAATTCCATTCATATGAAGTTAGAGAACTGGAAAAACGAATCTATGGGACAGAAGCTAGAATAGCGGTGACCTAGGGCAGGTGGACTGAGAGGAAAGGGGCCTGAGGAAACTTTCAGGAGGGATGGAAATGTTCTGCTAATGATCTGGGTGGTTGTGATATGGTGTATACGTATGTAAACACTCACTGACTTGGACATTTCAGATGTATGTACTTTCATGTATATAAATACCTCAATAATTTTTTCAAAGAAAAACATGTTTGGTAGAGGGGAAAACACACTTTACCAGGTTTCTGCTAATGACCCAGGAGATACCCCACCCCCTCCCCATCGCTTCCAGCCTTGTACCCCAGGTGCTGACCAGGGGAGCCCCGGGGGCTGCTTAGGGGTCAAGGTTGCACGCAGAACCAAGGGTTCACTCACTCTCCCCCCATTCCACTCCTTGAGCCGGAGCCAGAGCATCCCCTCCCCACCATCCAAGACCAGATGGGCACTGAAGCAATCCACACACAGTGGAGGGCAGGGACGGACATGAAAACTGGCCCTTACACCTCTGGAGAGACTGGCAGGGTGGGGCCGACCGACACCTTCTCCTCGGGCCCCTCGGCCTCGTCCTGCCCAGGGCCCGGCCCCTCAGCCTGGGAGCGCTGCTCCTCGCCCCTCTCGTGGGCGGCAGGTGGGCTTGGGATCTCCTCCCTTGACAGCAACAAGGAAGCAACTGTGTTAAAGCCAGAGGAAGGTGAGAGGCTCCAGGTGTACCCCATTCGGGGTCAAAGGTCTGTGATGGGGACGAAGGAGGCAGCGGCCCCGGCAAGACCTGTGGTTTCCCTGTCTCAGGTCTCAGATCCCAGCTCCCCTCCCTGCCTCTCCCCGAGCAGTTTACACCGAAGGACCAGAGATTCACGTTCCAGGTGGGATACAGAATGGTTATGGCGCCCAGGAGAGGCTCTGCACACAGCAGAGTTCCGCGGATGCTGCCGACTAAACACGGCTGCTACTCAGCCTCCCCCGGTGACTCATTCCAACCAGATGAGCTCTAAGACCAGTGTCTTTCTCTTGCCAGGGGAACAAACTAGCAAGTCTACACCGGCTCTGGAGCAGGCTAGGGAGTGAAGGTCCTCTCAGCTGGCCTCAGGGAAGCCCGGGGCCCTGCACCCAGCAGGGCTTCCCACAGGCTTGCTGAGTGACTAGCGGTGGGATGCCTGCTGGGAAGGAGGGGGCTGGCAGGTGGGGACTGGGAGAAATGGCCCCCCTGGCAGGAACAGCCTAGTCCAGGGTGACAGCAGTCTCTGCCCCGGCCCCTGGCAGGAAGGCAGCTGGGTCAGAAGACATACTTCCTAGTTCCAGAGTTTCTAAGCTCCCCTAATCAGACTGTGCACCCCGACTTTAGCTGTAGGCCAAGGACGAGGAAGAGGCAGATTTCCTAACTCTCCAGCTTGTGTGAAACACTCAGCAGAAACGTCTGTTGCGGCTGCTTAGGCTGCAACCCCACCCCCTGCTCTCCCCACCTCTCCAGGCCCTCCACGCCCACCCTGGGAGGCTTCCAGCCCACCCTTACCTCTGCAGGGGACCAGGGGGCGTGCGGCTGCCTGCAGAGCCCTCCCCAGGCTCCTCTGCCCCCTTCTGTTCCGGCTGCTCCTCCAGGGGCTGCGGAGGCCCTTCATCCGTGGCCTGGCTGTGAAGGGGACTCTGGAGCCGCTCCCCAGGCAGAAGAGGAGGAGATAACCTGGGCAGAGCAGCAGAGTCAGGGCCTCCACTCGGACAGCAGCAGGAGAATTGGGGAGTGGAGTACGGGGACCGAGGTCCATGCCTCCTGTGGGCTGGACCTCAGCCGGGGCCCCACCTCCATGGAGAGCCCACGGAGGCCAAAGCAGCCAGAAAAACAGGACGAAGGAACTCCCTCCAGAGCTCTCCCTTTGCCTGGACTACACTCAGCCTTCCCAGGTCCCTGGGCTGCATTTGCTTGGCCCAGGAGTGAAAGCTGGGCACACTCACACTGGGCACACTGGGCACACTCCTGCCATCACTGGGGCCGGGGAGAGAGAGAGAGAGAGAGAGAGAGAGAGAGAGAGAGAGAGAGAGAGAGTGTGTGTGTGTGTGTGTGTGTGTGTGTGTGTGTTGGGGGTGGGGGGTGGTGATGGAAGAACTGAGCAGAAAAGAGGGAGAAAAAGAGAAGCCAGACTCAAACAGTCAGACTATAGACAATGCATGAAGTGGTAGCTTCAAGTAAGAATGCTGATAGCTTTTCAAGGTCCAAAAAGTAGAATGACCACCCCCTTCCCCTTCCAGGGTGGCAGCCCTTCTCTTATCATGGGCTCAGGCCTGAGAAGCTGGAAGCTCCTGTCTCTCAATCTCTCAATCTCTCAATCAATCCCTCTCCCTCTCTCCTTCTCTCTCTCTCTCTCTCTCTCTCTCTCTCACACACACACACACACACACACACACACACACACACACACACAGCCACAGCCATTTCTGATGTGGTAAGGCCTGACTCGGAGCTCTGAGCTGCACTACCGACCCTCTAACATGGTCCCCCGGACCTCGAGCAGGCTATCCAGCCCTGGCCCACGAGCAAGGACACACAAGCCTTCATCCAATCTGATGAAAAGGACAGAGCCTTGTCCCCACAATGGTGCTATGCGCACAAAGTACCCCCATATGCTCCAGCAGTACCTCCCACTCCTGACTTGGTTTGCGTACACGCACACGCACACGCACACACGCAGACTTTGCAAGGCCATCCAGTCAGTTCACCATCTGCCTTCAGGCAGGAGCACACCAAGGTACGTAGACCAAAGCCAGGAATTCTGCCCAAGTCCACGCCATCCCAAAGTCCCTGAGGGTGACCTCCCACACACTATACCTCTCCGAGCCTCTGGACTTCTTGCTCTGCAGCTCATCTTGGCTGGACTGGCTGACATCCTTGTCTTCTCTCCCCAACCTCTGGGCCTGTAGGCAAGTAGCAGTGGAAAGTGTATACTTTGGGGGTTGGGGGGTCTGCATTGGGTCCTTTAATCCTCCAACTGACTCTCATGTCAGGAAGAAGCACTGAGAGGTGGCTCTTGGTGAGTGAGGACCACTCGGGATGCAGAAGAGAAGGTCGTCTACTGCACAGTGAAGGCCCTGGGGCTTTGGCTAAGCCCCCAGGCTCACAGCTGCTCCCAGGGCCAGCCTTGCTGGCCTGGGGAGGATGAGTCAGACACCAAAGCCACTGCAGGCAGAGGCAGAAGCCATAGGCTGAAGCAGAACACATAAGAAAATCCTGCCCTCTGCAGTTGGAAACCCTTCACTGCCAGTTGTACAAAGCGGAGCCATCCATGAACACCCCAGATCCACAGAGGCCCCAGACCACCAGTGCTAGTGATAATCAGGGACGCTCAAATTAAGTGAACAAGATTGGGCACAGCAGACAAGTGCGTTAAAGAGGAAGGACCCTGGAGAGATGGAGACTTGGTGAAATGACAGAGAGCTGTACTCCAGACGAGAAGGGCACTGTGTGGGCACCTGAAGGGAGGAAGACGGGGCGCTCCTCTGCTTCCCCGACACCCAGGTCCCATCAGTAGACAATGATGCCCCCTTCCTAGTCAGGGATTTTACCACCCAGACAGCGCAAAACAAAACAAAACAAAGCCAACCCCAAATCTCATTTTAAAGCTTAGGTGTCTAGGCAAATTTAGCAAGCTGGTGAAAAAGGACTATTCTTGATACATTCACATATTTTCTGCAGGAGTGAGGTCAGGCGGGTAGAGTAGGGCAGTCAGCCTGGACTCAACCCTTTGTTCTAGCACCTCCTCCACTACAAAATGGGATAGCAAACCACAGCTCACAGGGCTTCTGGTGAAGATTAAATGAGATCACGTACATAAAGCCCGACTCCGGCCCAAAAGAAGGCATGCCACAAATACGAGCTCTCCTCATGCCCCATCTCCTCTTCCCCAGCCTGAGGAAAAACAAAACACAAAAGAAACCCAGCTTTGCCGGTGCCAGTCCCCATCCTAGGACCTGCACTCCTTCTGTCACACTGACAGGAGCCCTGCCTGTTCCGGGACACGAGGGTTAACAGGAGAGGTGGGGCAGGAGACAGACAGCTCACTCCATCTTCCCCAGTAGGGCTCCGGCCAGGCTGGCACGCCTCCATGTCCCCAGCCCCATGCCCCCAGCCCCCCACACCTCTCCACTGGCAGCCTGAGCCCTGGCAGCTGTGGCCGACTCTGCCATCTGGATGGGTCTGAACTATAAGCCAGCTCCCCCAAATTACATGAAAAATAGCAATGCTGCCTGGGAGTGCCTCCTGGTGCCCGCAGCAGAAGGGCTCCCTGCCAGCGCTGCCACTCCTAATCGCATCAGCCGGGCAGAGCCCGCAGACAATGGCGGGGCGGGCCGCCCTTCTCCCACCCCACCTCCTTCCCTTCCAGAGCTCAACTCACAACTTGTCTTCCCTACAATTCACAACAAGCTCAGCAGACAGCTCCCCCTCTCTTTTCAAGGAAAAACAAAAACAAAAACAATCACACAGGCCAATCTATTTCACAAACTAAAATATAAGATGGGTAACAAAGTGCAGTGATTGTAATTAATATCAGGGGACTGAGCCCTGAATCAGAAAGGACAAGCTACAGACAAGGCCTGTCTATTTCCTTCTTATTTCACCTTCCATATTTCTGCTAGAAACTCAACTAGCCCCCAGCTAGAGAATAAGGGACACCTTGGGCAAGTACCCAGACAGAGGTCCTTTGAGCAGAGTTTTTACCTGCTCCCTAGACATTTTTGCCCCAGAAAGGGAGTCAAAGGAACGAGACAAAGAAATCAGGCATATCGGCACTCTTCAGAAAGGGGAGACACAAGCACATTCTAAGCCTCTGGCCTAAGACTGCTCAAGACACCACTTCCCCAACCTAAACTTAGCTCCGGGGTTTTGTTTTTTGTTTATGATGCAGTCCTCAGTTTAATAAATCCCAGTAAGTCACAGTGCATTCATAAAGCAGAATGCTATGCAACCAATAAAGGGAGTAGGGCAGATCTGAAATAGCATAGAAATAAGTTAAGGGTCTATTCTCGAATTTGAAGAGCATATTGCCAAGCAGTTTTTATAGCACAGTTCCGACTTCTGTGGGGGGAAAAAAAGATTAACAAATAGAAAATAAATACATGCTTATATGTGTACAGAAAATTTTCTGGAAAGGCACATGAAAATGTTAATGGAAACTAACAGTCCCTACCTGCGGGAGGGAGTAAGGCTGCAGGAAGTAGAAGACTTTGACCTTCTGTATTATTTGAAATAATTTTATGGTCATTTTTTGTAACCTATTATAAAATTCATCATGTTTGTAATTCATCATAATCATTACCTTGACCGTGGTGGTGATTTGAAAGGTGTATACATATGGTAAAACTTATCAAATGGTACCATTTATATGTGTCCAGTTTATTTATGTCAATTAGATCTCAATAAAGATGCATAAAAAATGTTTAAGTGAACAAAAATTAATTTAGCTCAGTTCTAAGCTTCTGCACTGGCCCTGGCCTTGAGAGAGATCCAGAGAATATGGAAAATGGTCAAGTGCCCCCTGGAAAGACAAAGGGGACTGTACCTATGGTTCTATCCATCCCACAAAGAGGCTGCTTCTTGTCCCTCCAGCTCTACCTCCCTGCTCAGCCCCTCCGTGCCCTGAAGTGAGAGGCAGACACAATCTCGCAAAGGGCTCCACGCGGTCAACCAACCTGAGCACCCAGCACTGCTCCACACTGGTCATGAGATACAGCTTAGGGCCCCCTCTGCCAGGGCGGCTGCCTCAGAGGGTGCCTCATGAGAACCAAATGCAAGCCAGGCCCTGCTATTGCTTTATACCAAGTGGCATGGCCCAAAAAGAGGCTGCTCGCCTCATGAGGTCTTAGGCAGGACCTAGAAATCTGTCTTTTTTAAAGCCCCCCAAGTATTCTAATACTGGCCAGATTCTGGAGACAGAGCAATGGAAATTCACCTTGCCCAGCCAACTCAGTAAGGTGCCTCACAAATCACCTGCTCCAAACCCTTCCTGACAACCACCACCTGGCCTTGTCTGTGCCCTTAAAGACCTCCAAACTGCAGTGCTGCAAACGGTGGGGACCAAGGTCCAGCAGAACCAAGAAGAACATGTCAGGCACAAATGCAACCGACCTTGTAACTCTATCCTGTCTCAGGACTCGCTTCACTAAGGGCACCCAGGCCTGATTCACATTAAATACCTTGTTTGTTTCACCCAAACCAAATGCCCGCTCAAACTTGCAAAGACCACATGTCAGAATCTCTCTCCTCTCAACAACCCTACAGAGGAGGCAAAAATGACCTTGGCTTCAAGCTCCTTAAGGACAGGGTCTGTGTCTGAGCTTACATCTGACAGGGGAGACAAAGAACCATAAAACAAAAGAAGCAGCATTAAGGGAAGCAAAGGAAAGCAAAGGGAAGGAACGATAAATCGTGCTTGGAGGAGGTGACGTCAGACGTGAACCTCCAAGACCAAGAAAGAGCTTGCCGGGACAAAAGGAAAAGCAGCCCAGCAGGCAGAGTGGTGAAGGGGGTGGAGGGGGTGGCCCCAGGGGAACGGCGAGTGGTGGGCACAGCCAGGGCATGGGCGGTGGGCTGAGGATGAGGCCGCAGAGGTTGGATGGGCCAGGTTGGGAAGTGCCTTGAAACCCACAAACTACACAGTGCTTTGCACGGGAGCAAGTGGTCGGCCCTCAGTTGCTAAGTGACTGGATCAACAGATAAATATATGGCGGTGGAGGACACGGAATGACTTAATTCACACCAGCAACAGAGCATGTATGTCGGAAGCCCCATCACAGGCACAGTCAGGGCCTTGCCTTAATGAATCAGAAGAGAGAGAACTCCCAGAAATGCACCCTGGGATGGGCAGGACTCAGCTCTTGATTATCCTCAAAAGTGAGGCTCCAGCCCAGCCCCAGAGAGACTCACCTCCCAGTGGGCTCCATCCAGGACAGAGGAGAGCATGTCCACATCCAGCAGGTGCTCCGAGATCCGGCTATGGAAACCGAAGTCCTGGAGATGGTAGAGACGGGGAGGTCAGCTCTCCTCTGTCACGCTCAGTGCCCACCAGGGATACAGGGCCTCTTCTGTAGCCCAGAAAGACGCCTACTACATGCCAGGCACTGTACCAAGCACTCCGACAGCTACTCATTAATTTCACCTTCAAAATTAACACTGTGACTGGATGGAAAGGTATGTGGCAAAGCAAGTACGGTAAACTGTTCACTGTAGACTCTAGGTGGTGAGTATGAGGCTATTCGCTGTAAAAGTCTTTTTTCAGTATGTCTGAAAATTTTCATAATCAAATTACAGGGAAAAAAGTAACCCTATGAGACTGATCCTCTTATTCTTATCTCACGGAGCAAGCAGTTTGAGAGCCCAAGTAATCTATCCAAGGTCACGCATCTGGTAAGCAATAGGGCTGGGGGTCAGAAGTGCCCTGGGCCGACTCCAAAGACCAAGCTCTTTGTGTGACACGTGCTGCAAAGCATGTCACTTTCCAGCTGTCTCTCCCTCCTGGTGCCCAACCAGGAGGCCAAAGTGCCCAGAAGCCCTGTGGGCAGCTTGGACACCAGGGCCTGCCAGGCTCCACCCAGCTGGTTCCTTCCCCTTCCCATACAGGTGTCCCTCTGGACAATGGGGATGAATTAGTGCCACTTCCTCCACCAGCTTCTCTTTGGGACGGGCAGCAAGGGCCCACATGGGTGCCAGCTCCCCGCAGCCCTTTGGCTGCCACAGAGCCACGAGCCCGCCCCCTCCGAGCCCAAGATCGCCACTGGGCTAGGTGACGGATGGCTACCTGACAGCACGCTAACAGGGACAGTTCTGTCATCAGCGCTGATAAACGGAGGGACGCCCAGCCAAGGTCTGGTCCTGCTGTCTGTGGCTTCCTCCACCCACTCCCACAGAGAAGAAAAATGCCGATGGGCGGCCCGTTTCTCCACACAGTGACTCCTTTAGCAGGGGCAGGGCCCTTGCTTCAGAGAGTTCTGTGACACGGTGATTCTTCATGACGGTTTGTGCCAACAAGGACTTTGCCTCCCGTTCCTAGCTTGTGGATTTTCTTTGCTGATGACATTTCCCTTTCAGCGTGAGTTCTACTCCACTCAAGGCAGCTGCCATCTGGCTCCTAAGCCCATGGCTCAGTGAGGGGCTTGAGCACACAGCCTCCTAATTCCTCTGCACCCCCCCGTATCATTACTGTTCATCCCTGACCCTCTCCCACTAATCCCTTCCCTTTGATCTGCCTCCTCCAAACAGATGGAGCGTGGTTTCTGGAAAAAGTGCTCTGCCAAAAAGCACCCCGAACTCCTCCCCATAGATAACAAACCTGGCAAGTGAAGCCAGGCTACAGCAGGCTGGGTGGAAGGACTGGGACAAAGAAACCATGGATGTTGGCATTCCAGGATGAAGTCTTAACTTTGGAGATGATACCACACCACAGCATCCTTCCTGGTCAGAGCCTGAGAGCCTGAGGACTGGTCCTCGCCATGGCTCAGTGATTCCATAAAACACACACAGTCTCTAACCTCCCAGGTTCATGTAATGCTCCTGCTAGAGCCCAGAGGCAATGATCTCATATGATCTCACAGGCAATTCACACAGCAGTAATAGTAATAACAGCTATGTTTGTTTAATGTTTATATGCTAATGTTTTATACTCTTTACCCCCACTTTCTTCTCACAACAAACCTATAAAGTAGGTAGTGTTATCCTTAGTATGTAGGGCTGAGAAAATAGAGTTAGACAAGACCCAAGTTTGAGTCCTAACTTCCCCACTTACAAGCTGTGAGATGCTCAGCGAATCACTCAAACACAGGACCTCACAAACCCATGCTCTTCACCACCACTCTGCTGCCCCCCATCTCAGACTCACCAGGCCAAGAAAGGATTTGGGGTCAGAAGCAGTGGAGTCTGAGGGCTGTAGTTCCTTCATGTGTTCACTGATCTCTGACTCCTGGGGAGACAGACCCACAGAGAAGTCACCGGAGCAGAGGACAGAGGGTCGTGATCACTATCCATGGTGCCAGTACAGGGCTGAACCCAAACCAAAATCCACCTCTACTGGAAAACCTAAAAGAGGCCTGTGGACCCTCCCATTCTCTCTGGACACCTGCTCCCGGCCCCCTCAGGCTGGGCAGGGCAACCCTCTTTCCACTTGGAAGGAGGGCCAAGTGAAGCGGAGCGGGAGATGGTTAGAAAGTCGGCAGTGGGGAAGTTTGATGGGATCCTAGGAAAACAGAATGAGAGTATCTTTTCCAGGAAGCAGCTAAAAGCTCTTTAAATGAATTCCCTCACCATCCACCTGGATGAAGGGCGGGACTGAGGGCTGGAAAATAAAGATGCCAAATGCTCTCACAGCTGGGTCCTACTTCCATCCATCCGGGTCACTGGCCTGATCTTACCAAGCAGGACTCCCGCGTCTTGGGTTGTTCAAAGGAGCCAGAGAGACCAATGAAGAGTCTTATTGTAACCTAACTGACCAATGCCGGGGCAGGACACTCCCAAACGTCCCCCCACTCCCCTCAACAGGCTCCTCTCTCTGCAGGAACACAGGCTGCAACCATGACTCACCCCAAACTGATGTCAAGAAGTAGGAGGGGGAGGCAGGAAATGGCAAGAGGAAGTAAGTGAGAGACCAGAGGAATAGGAATACCCCAGGAGGTGCCAACGGAAAAGCAAATTTCTGCTCTGAATTTCTAGTGCCAGCAGGTTTGGAGTTTCATTCAGGATTTTACTGCCTGCTGGGTCTGGGCATATTTGTCACAATTAAGGGTTCTGGCTGATGTTGACGGCCCATTGCCGGGCCTGCAAATGCAGCTACTGACTCAGTAATAAAGATGAAGGGAGGGCTTCTCGGGTGGCGCAGTGGTTGAGAATCTGCCTGCCAATGCAGGGGACACGGGTTCAAGCCCTGGTCTGGGAAGATCCCACATGCCGCGGAGCAACTGGGCCCATGAGCCACAACTACTGAGCCTGCGCATCTGGAGCCTGCGCTCCGCAACAGGAGAGGCTGCGACAGTGAGAGGCCCGTGCACCGCGATGAAGAGTGGCCCCTGCTCGCCACAACCAGAGAAAGCCCTCGCACAGAAACGAAGACCCAACGCAGCCAAATTAATTAATTAATTACTTTTTAAAAAAAGATGAAGGGAGAGGAATGTGCACAGGGCACGAGAGAGCAGCAGAGAGCTGCAGCCAGCAACTGGGACAAAGTGACTTACTCCACTCGCCTCTGATCTGCTCTCTTTCGGGATGGAAGCCTCCTTCTTTGGCTTCTTTGCTGCCTCTTCCTTCAGGGAACCCTCCTCTCTTGCATCCACCGAGTCCTCTGGTGCCTCTTTTTTATTGGCTTTGGCAGGCTGATCGCCCATGGGGTCGCCCCCGGGGTCCGCCACACTCCTGGACGTTCTGGGATCATTCTTCTCATTCTTCTCTTTCTCTGGGAGGCAACTTGCCCCTCTTGCCTGTTGCCCTTGGCCATCGGCACTGCTCAGGCTGCTATCTGCATCTCGGCTGAAGAGCTTGCCAGGAGTAGGGGGGCTGCTGGCAGCATCGGAATCCTGAGACATGTCCTTCCTGTCCTCTGGCTGGCTTGTTCTTGGAGATTCCTAGGGAGCAGAAGACCGTGTCAGAAAGGAAGACATCAGGAATTAATAAAAGGGTTTAGAGACTTGCTACAAGATGGAGCTGCCATTCCTTGACGCCTACAGTTCTGAAACCAATGGCTATCCCACACCTCAAAAGCATTTAAAAACACAGATTCCTGGCTCCAGCCCAGCTCCACTGACTCTGAAATTCTATGGTGATCTGAATACACCCAACCCGACCCCTGTCCACTGAGGAGCTTGGAATCCACTGCACTGCACTATACAACTCTGTCACCACGCATCACATTCTCAAGTAATAAATCTGGCTCATTCTAGCCCCATTAGCCAAACCATAAGATGGCAGGCTCAGAAGTCAATATTTGTTTACAATGATGATGACGGAGAACCGCATGAGAGAAAAGTACCAAAGTCTAGAGTTTTCACTTTTAAAAGGCAGCAGGGAGGAAATATCAGGAGGGTACCCTTCTTGCACAGCAATGAGGGCAGCTCTCTCCCTGTAGCCTCCCCCTTAGGGAGGCTGCATAAGCAGCCCTGGAGCCAGGCTCCTCTGTCGGAGGACCATCAGGTGAGTCCTCTGGGCAGCAGGTGCCAGACGGGGTGAGGTGTGTAGTAGACTGGCTGGGGGAAATGCCCATGAGGATACGGGAGGTGGGGAGAGGCGTGGGAACGCAGGTCTGAGACCTGTGACACAGGAGAGGGAAGGAGGGGGCTTGAGTAGGAGAGCCTCAGGCCACAGCACAGTTCTGAAAGGGTCTCAGCCCCATGGACAGTCCCGCAGCCGTCGCGCAGAAACGGCCCTGCTCTGGGGCCCGTTGCACCCCATCAATTCCATCAATAAGCCCAGCCTTGGCACGAGCTGGGGTGGATCAAAGGTTCAGTGGATCAAAGCTTCAGCAGCTTCAGGCCATTAATCCCCCAAGGTCCCCTCTGCAGGGTCTCTTGAAAGGAGATGGGAGCAGGGCACCTCTACAGCTGCCCACCCTGCTCCTCGCTCACAAACCCCATGGTAAAGACCAGGAAAAACCTTTAGAGCTACCACAAGAGAAAAAGGAACTCCTCCCTTGGAAATACAGCCTGTGATCTCTCCTAGGCTCAAGCAGAGAAGTCTTCTTCCCAGAAAACACCTGTCCTAAACTTGGGCTGCCAGCGTGAACAACTTCTGGAAGGGATTTTTGAGACTTCCTGAAGCCTGACCCTGGACACTCCAACAAGAAGTGTGATGACTAGAGTCCAGAGGGCCAAGGAAAAGCCCCAAACACGCCATTCACCCATGCTGTCTGCCTGTTAAAGGATCCACGGAACCCAAAGCCATGGCAGCAGGTCTGGCAGCCGACTGACAAGCCCACCCAAACTTTCCAAGGATGGTTAAGAGAGGCAGGAAAGCAGAGCACTTCAGAGCCTGACTTCGGAGATAGAACACTCAGGTTCAAATCTTGGCTCCGTGCTTACAGGGACCCTAGGCAAACTGTTTAACTTTTCTGGGCCTCAGTTTCTTCCTCTAAAATACGGGGGTATAGTAGGGCCTATCTCATAGGATTGTTGGGAAGATTAAATAAGTTAACACTCATTGAGTGAGTAAAGAACAGAGAACTGCGCCTGGCACGCCGTAAGCGCTCCATAAACGCTAACTCATGTTTTATGAGACCCACAAGTTCATTCACCGAGCACCTTCTATGAGCCAAACCCCACCATGGCGACCTGAACAGGAAGATAGATCCTGCCCTCAAGGAATTCAGCTGAGAATGGAGAAAAGTGAAACATCCCAGGTGGCCCTGGCTATGAGCCTTTACTGCCCAAAGCAAAGGGCACGGGACACGGCGGTGACGCTGTGGTCAGTGCCACGCCTGTCCCAGGGAGAAAAGCAGAGGCTGAACAGAGAAGGGGTGGGCTTCCCTCATGCCCTGGCAGCACAAAGGCAGGGTGCCCTCCACTGCTGCCCACCCTCCTGACACCCCAACTGTAGTGTGGAGGAAGTCTTCATGGTCACTGGGTGCAGAGGGGCCAAGATGAGCTCCTCCTCTTTGAGAGGCATCTTCAGGGAGAGGCCAGGTGTCCTCACCTCAGTGTCCCCACAGCAGCCGGCTCTCAGCAGCGGCCAGCACGCAATGACCGGTCTGTGGGGCTCCTGGATGCCAAGAAGGACGTGGGAGTGTCTCGGGGGGAGTGAGGGGGTCTGACTCAGCAAGCACAGCCAAGCCACCCCGGCCGTGCTCATCTCATGATGAAAGAAAGGCAACAGACCTTGGATTAGGGGACAGAGGAGATGTCAGACCACCAGTTCACATCTCCTCACACGGCCCACAGCCTTTCTCACCCAGCCCAGCCCTGTTTGCTCCTCTGAGGTCATCTCCAGACACACACATCCTGCCTGTGAACAAACATGCCATTTCCCTGCTCTGCCGTGCGTGTTCTTAATACACACACAATCTACCCTGACAAGCTCCCACTGGTCCTCACGGCATTTCCTCTTCCAGGAAGCCTTCCTGAGATCAGCCTTCCTCATCCTCTTTCACAACAACTACTGTCTTATAACTGCTGACTTCCTTGCCTGTTGCCCTCACCAAATCAGCTCCCTGTTATCCTCAGTGTCTAGTTTCTGGAAAATAATAGGTGCTCAGTCAATGCTTGTTGACTGAATATTAAAAGTGATTAAGGGCTTCCCTGGTGGCGCAGTGGTTGAGAGTCCGCCTGCCGATGCAGGGGACACAGGTTCGTGCCCCGGTCCGGGAGGATCCCACACGCCGCGGAGCAGCTGGGCCCGTGAGCCATGGCCGCTGAGCCTGCACGTCCGGAGCCTGTGCTCCACAACGGGAGAGGCCACAGCAGTGAGAGGCCCGCGTACCGCAAAAAAATGATTAAGTGGGTCAATGCAGATATAGGAGTTCCTACTCTGTAAAATGGAGATGTGATATCTATTTTACAAAATTATACAGGGATTAGACTATTATTTGTTATAGTGCTTATGAAATGGAAAATAGCTAAACAAATATTAACTATTAATATTCAAAATGACGGAAAAACAAGTAACCTATCAAAAATCAGAGGACACCAGACCCAGGGGTAGATTCCCATTCTTACACATGAGAGAATATGGCCAGACTACAGAATGTCAGGCCCAGGCTATGCCACTCTTAAGCTAAAATTCTTCAAAAGAAAAATGTTCCATGGAGCTTATCCTATTCTGTCTATGTAAATAGTAAAATATTAAAACATGGCTAACATGAAAATAAGTGAACTTGCATTCCCTGAGCCCACGTCAACTAACTGCAATGACAGGACAGCTAGGGGGACGTCTTGAGGGGAAGGACAGCAGGGGGAGACGAGGCATTTGTTATGGATTATCCACAAATGGATGAACGAGAGCTGAGTGTCTGGAAAACCCAGCTGACTACATGCTCCTCTCCTTTAGCTCAGCCCCTGCTCCTCATTCCATTGCGGGGCCCATGGCCTGAGGCCCGGCCCAGGACGCACACCCAGGCCCCTGCGCACAGCCTCCTACGCCAGTGTTCCGCAGGGCACCCGGGGGACGTACCCACAGCACGGCTCTGCTCTCAGCTCAACCGTGCTCACACTCCTTCTGTCTCCTCCTGTCACAGCCCCAGGTCCTTGAGTATAAGGCAAATT